TTTGTTTTTGGGTTCTCAATTGTGAAAAGTTTTTTCCACTGGAAAAATTGCTCATGGAATCTTCCTTTACTTAGGAAGCCATGGAAGCTGAGGAAGAAGCTGAAAGCTTAGGGCTTCTCTTGAGCTGAAGATCTGAGGCTGCAGAGCAAAAGGATTGCTGAGAACAATTACAAAGCACCTGAGAAAGGAAGCTGAATACTAATTACAATAAATTACAAAAGGAATCCTCACAGGAATCCAGCTTTGTTTTGGTGGTAGTTTATTATAGAGGATCCTCCATTTGTTTGAGGGGAGGGGGGGACCCCCCTTTACTAATCAGGATCCAACATTACATGTTGCGAGATTGGCCCCCACAGTTTGAACCCATTCGCTCCATTTTTGTTCTGAAGGATTCGGAGACGAGACACTCGTTTCGCAACTGCTCCACAGCTCGGAAGTACCGGCGAGACACGGAAATCATGGCCCACAAGCCGATGAACAGAACCAAGACTTGACCGCCCCACAGCGCCTCTGATCCTGAACGCTCGCAGGACGAAGATGATTCGCAGGAGTTGTTTTCGGCAAAACAAAAAACGACTGCAACCCTGTTTGAGACGGACTTAGGGTTTTTGCAGATCTCCATTCGATCGACCACTGTGCTGCGTCACTTTGCTCGTGTCATGCAAGAATGGAAACCCTTGATTGTATATTAAAGAAAACTGAAATCATCATCATCATCATCACAATATAAGGTTTTCAATCAACACTTGATGTGTGGAGTATGTGACACTCACCCCTTTCCACACCAACTCATCGGTATATATGCCAGTCCCAAACAGGTCGTGTCTGGGAATGTTAAGTCTCGCAACTTCGCCTGCCAGGCCGTCTCGTTGTGGAACCCAGCCAATGGCAATGACGACCACCACCATGGTCAGCGTCAGGAGAACCTAACTGACAAGATTCCGGGAAGACTCCAACAAGCAAGGATCATTTCATGGGATCTCAACCTAGTGTCAGAGTTGGAAGTCGACAACTGAGAGTTGACACAAAATCTGTGGGACTTCTCAGAGGATGACACGACTTTGGAATATCTTCTGTATTGTTCTTGCAGGAGACTGAGCAGGGTCCCAAAATCAGCGGCCGCACCAAGAGCTTGAACTTCTTGCCCGTCGGGCGGGTGTGCAGGAAGGCGGCTAATTCAAAGATGCACCACAAGCGACGCGTGTACGAGGGATCCCACAAAACCAACAGTGAGTTGGAACACTTCCTCACTGCGGCGTGTTCTTGAAGCTAGGAAGCCCTCAATGAACTGAACCCGACTGAACCGAAGGTTCAACAAGGCCAAGCATCCTACGATATCCTATGTAAACACTCACGTTATAACTTTACAAGCGGGGCACCTTCTTGGAATTAATTCCCGAATGCGTAGCGAAGGGTTCTCGTTTAACTTTGGGGGTCTGGGGGTAGGGCCTTGTTCGCGACTTGTTGTCTGAGCGTTCGCAACCGCTGTCAACCGTTTGCACCCGTTTGCAGTATGGCGCTGACATTGGGGGAAGCTTTTGGAGAGGGTTGTGGAAACGTGAGATGTTGAAGGGTGGAGGATGATCTCACTGCGCAGGCGCAGCGTTTTGTGAGATCCGCAGTTTTCTGCGCAGTCAGATTGGGATTGGCGTTTAGAGGGTTGCGTTTTTGGGGTGTTGGATGTGGCTGTGGCATTGAGATTTGCGTTTCAGGTTTTTGATTCGAAGCTGTGTTTTCGTGACGTTTCTCAGCTCAAATGGCGAGTTTGGTGGATGGGAGTGTGCTCAGAACGCGTCGAAATCTTTCCAATCGTGTGGTGTGGTGAAAATTTTGCTGACACTAACATGAAATGATATCGTCGCTTTTCGTGGCAGACGCAGTACTTTGTGCGTGTTGGAGTGAATGTCGCTGTGACATTGGGATTGGCGTGAGAGCGGGTGTTGTTTGGAGGCGGTGGAATTGCAAACCTGCTTGGCAGGGGTGCTGGATGCGTGTGCTCGGATGGGCCTTCCTGCTTGCCCTGTGGAGGAAGTCTCGTGCGAAATGCTCGCTTTGGAGACTTGACGTGTGAATGTTGGAAGTGAGTTTTGGAGGACGTCTCATACGAAACGCTCGTTTGGGAGACTTGACGCGTGAAGTTTAGAGGAAGTGTTCTTACACCCACGACGCTTGACTCGTTTCACTTCCGGCGATGTGGCTTGCTGGGATGACCGAACTGCGGTCGCGGTCTCTGCAAGATTGTTGGGCGACACATTCGTGCCTGCACACCCAAAGCATTCTTGGACTTCTACCGGATGTCTGCTACGCGAAGCTGCGGGGACGTGGCTGGACGAGTGGTCCATGACCGCACTGCTGCGCAATTCTCCTTTTGCCTTTTTTTGAAAGGCGGCAATGATGTCCTCGGGGCAGGTGGTGGATGGCGCAATGCTAGTTCGCTACAAGAGGGCGACAGCTCCGTGATGAGGAGCAAGAGAGTGCGTTCTGCATGGCGCCGCGGCCCTGGTCTCTATAGCGTGACGTGAGTGCTTGTTTGGAAACTTGCGGCAAGACGTCGACGTTGTTGCTTCGTCCACGGAGCTCAATTTTGGCTTTATCATTGGCAACACTTGGACCCAGACGTCCGCGGTCCGAGGCCCTGGTCCCTGGTGAGACAACTAAAAATGTTTATATAATGCATCTTTGCTGGCTGGTGTTCGTGAAGCCCTCACGAGCGTTATTTTTTGGAAGCACTTGATGATATAGGCTAAAACTATTCACTTCCATATTGTGACTGTATGTTGATATGTGTATTATATATTTCTTCTTGATGCAGGTGAGATGCGGCAACGCACGGTCTTGCATTCCTACTTACAACAAGACCAAACGCCGCAGTCATGACTTGTTTCTGTATTATGTCCATGGTCATCATTTTCAGGTGCTTATTTTTGAGACTGTTGGATAATGCAAATGTTTCTTTCATGATGTGGATCTGCCTGATTCTTTACGCCATTGCCTGATGGAGTGCGGAACGAAGAATGCTGAATGCTCTGCATGTAACGAGAAGGCGACGGAGCTTGGTGGTAGAGTCCCCAGCGCATGATGCTTTGGTGGTAGTTTCCTCAGCGCATGATGCCCCTTGTTTGCCTGGTCATGTGGCTGGCGGAACCTAAACGTTAGCGAGCTGGACCAGATAAAAAACAGTGACATGGAATAATATGTCTATTTTACACGCACTCGGTTTGGACATATGTAGCTTTTCGAACGTGTTTGCATTCGGGTTTGTGGGCTCCATCTTGTTTTCTCCAAAGAAGCAAAAATAGAAAGATTGCTGAAAGTTCTTTGCTGAACCAAATAAACTGAGCTATCTGAGCTTCAGGAAGGCCCCCATGCTCAACATTCCGCTTGCCTTTTGGCGTGGATCCTCTTGGTCAATGCACATGATGTCAAGGAAAACCGACTGCTGTGGTTGCCAAAGCAAGAGAACCAATAAGTATATCACAGGCCCCACCAGCATCGCCCAAAAGCCACGGGGATAAATCCACAGCTCTTTGTCCCACTCAGGGCCCGGGAGAAGCTTGGCTGCGAAAAGGCTTGCAACCACAAGAGCTCCCAAGCTGGAGCAAATCACGGCTGGTATGTGATTATGGAGGAAAAGCAACGTTGTGATCTTACTTCGCCAGCCACCTTTCCATGGGATTCTCCGTGAACATGGCTTGCGGCCAAAAAAGGTCAGCTGATCTCGCTTCTTGGGGAGGCAACTATGTCTTCTTCAATTTAATATATATATATATATTGGTTCATAAAAGAACACAAGAATCAGCCCCGCCTTGCCAGCTGTGACTCCAGAATTGCTTGATCTGAGTGGTCGGAAAGCTCTTTCGGTACTCATGCCTGGCCCATTGAATAGGTCTTCTTAGCTGATCGAAACACATCTATAATAATTACTATGACATCATCTATTAACATATATATATATATTAATTGTGATATACATATAGTATACCATGTTTATTGTTACTAGTATTGTTATTAATTATATATATATCATAACTATAAAAAAGAAAAACCTCACCCGGAAAAGTGACCCTGGGTGAAGTGGGGCATCTGATGTATATTTCTCGTCCAAATTGTGAACATCAGGTCCTCAGGTCTTCATCCCGTCTGGACCTCGCCTGGAAATCCCTCGTCCACAGCGCAAGGCGTGGCAAGCCGTGACGGCCCGGATCACCTCAGGTGACGTTGGCTCCATAGCTGCCACCTTGTCTGCCACTCTGCCCATGATCTCAGAGATGTCGTAAGACGGGTGCGCCATGGCATGCGGTGCAACCAACGCGACGCGACCACCATGGGCCCGAAGAGGGAGGACACTCCTGGATGGGAAACAGCCCACCAGTTTGGGCCAGAAGCGGCACCGAGTGGCGCAGCAGCTGGCAGCTTGCTTTTATGCAAGGTAAGGAGACGGCAGAAGGAAAGGAATGGAACAACTGGTACATGAATTATTGGTCAATATGGTCAAATAGCTTAGTTTCAACCGCTAAGAAAACAGTGACAAAGTCTTCTGCAGTCACTGTGTAGAAGTCATCTGAGCTAAGTCCGGGCAACTGACCCCCCCCCTTTGCCGCTTTCGATGTGGTATGATGGCAAACTTAAAAGTTGACATTAACAACATGTAACAACACTCTATCAAACCCTCTTCCTCCTGCCTTGCCTACTGCTCTCCTTAAGCAATGTCTTCATGCCAGCAAAGCCTTCGGGATAACATGCGCACAAACGAGAAGCGCAAGCCCAGATCCGGAAACCAAGTCACTCCAAAGCAATGCTGCAAGCGCTCAAGGCGGAAGGGCTCACCTGCAAATGGTTTTGGCCCGAAGGGCTACAAGAAGGATGGATCCTTCCCTAAGGATCCTGGGGTGGAAGATAATGCTGTTCTTGTTAGAGGAAAAACCAGAGCCCAACTTCTGTTAACGAAACTACAAATGGCAATCGTTTCGCACCACAAACAAGTAGTTAAAACATGTTAAAACATGTTAAACACATGTTAAAACACGTTCCTCTTCCAAGTCAAAGTATAGAGGCGTGCTACATGCCAAAAAAACAAACACGGTTTACCGTCAGCTGGAAACAACCATGTTCCAGCATCTGATCCAGGTTCGGCTCTTAGGTTGGAGGCGGATGGAGGAAGTTCCTCTATCCGACCCCTGGGTTCCGGTGCCCACGGACCTCTGGGGGCCGACGGTTCATATCGGACCTGTGCCCCTGTTGAGTATAGACCTGCTACAATCGAGTGAAAAATGGTTGCAACTCTGTTGACACCTCACAACACCTCAGAACTTGTCGTGAATAGCTCAAGCACATTGGGAATGCAAAGTGGAGAAACATCAGATGGAACATGACGGAACACCGTGAACAGTGGAAGCAATATCTTTAAATCTGCAACATGCCAACCGCCAACCGCCTAAACTTCCTATGTTGGATTGTGGGGGACGCCAACATCTTGAAGATACACATGAAATCAACATAGAGGACCTGAGATTGGCTCTTCGCGACCTGCAGTGAAAATGCCCAACCCAACAGGATCCCCTGCCCAACTGGTGCCCTGCTCGGTCACCCCTCGGCCACCTCGGTCGTGTCCGGGCCTGTCTCCAGGAGGCATCCACGAAGTCCGCCCCTCGAGGCGCCAGGATTCTTCGTCTCACCTGGTGCGGCGGGGGGAGTCACGGTCACGGCCTTTGGCCCCCAGAGTCCCAGAGTCATGGCAGTTTTCAGTGGAAAAACATCGTCATCAAACAAACACGCCGTTTCAGTCGTTGCAAACATGTGCTCAAAATCCATGGACGGGGAGTGGACACCCAAAAAATGTTGTTTCTTAGTATGGTTTCTCTCCTCGCTAGCACAACATTTGCCGTTTTCCGACTTGTCACAATCACAACTAAAACACATTTGTTTTCTGAAAGGCAATTGTTTGTGCGGTTTCCAAAATACAGGCATATGCTGATATGTGGAGGCTGAGGTGCCTTCTAAGTCCAAGAAAAACACTTCCATGTTCTTTTCCCTACAAAGAAATTCTGCGGCTCTCCACTATCGGTGGCACGCCGTCTCCAGGTCATTGCCCAATGTGTAGAAAGGATGGCGATTCGTGAGCATCTCGAAGATCATGACACCGATCCTGGACTGCTTAGAGATGCTTAGAGAAAGCGATTTTGATGTGGGGAATGAACCAAATGAAGCCAACCCTGGATCATCTGAATCAGAGTTCCCTGTAGAGACTTATCTGACCGAATCTGACCTAAATGACCTGCTGGTCTTTATCCTGCTGTTTTTGTGTTGTTTCGGGGCTTGGCACATTTTGTCTGAAACATGATTCTCTTGTGGTTGTCTCTGAGCAGACTTAGCATTGGCCCAGAACCGGGAGCATGCGTCTTAATGAATAGATCATTGCATAAGCAGTTTGGGTACATTCTTTGTGAGCATACTTTCAATTGGTCTTATCCAGTCCCAAAACATCTCTGGTTTTGTCCAAACCTTCTCCTTTGTCCTTTTTGCATATCTCCTCCCAAGCTCCTTCTCAAGGTCCACCCGTGATAGAACAGCTAGTTGCAATTCGGTCACGTCCGCATCATGAAAGTATCTTCTTTTGTGATTCAAACTCCTCCTGTGTTGCGACCAGAATGACCAGAATCCTCCTTCCTTGAGAGTTGTTTGCATTGAAAAGACCTCCTTCTTCAAAAAACCTACTCCTTCGTGCAAGCCTCTCTTCCTTGTCACAGTGTCCTCTTTTGTCCTTCTCCTTTGCACGTCTCGTCTTCCTTTACGACATTGATCATCCAAAACACACTCCTGCACAACGCCTTGCTGCACCCGCCAGAACTCGCCACCCTCTTGTGTTTCAAAGCCAATTTGTGGATCATTACAAAGGACCTGTGATGACCTGACCTGTAGCTCGAAGGTGGTCATTATAAGGATAGAGGAGGTCTGTTCCCCAGTCCAATCAGGCAAGGGTGCTCATCCTGTGGATCGGACATATATGCTCATTGGAGGACGGCTCTTATACCGTAGGATACGTTGACTTCTTCCATAAAGGGAGGTTTTGGATAAGCACCGTTTTCCGCATCACCAAAAAAGAACACGGGCAACCTGACGGTAGGAATAACCATATTCCCAAGAAGTATAATTATTGCCCACCCATTTGTAGGAACAAAAACAGAAACCCTATAGTCTACGCATTCCTTTTCATGTTCATCTTTTAAAGGTGAAGATGATATACATGAAGCGAATTGCCCAATGCGCAAGATCACAATCGAAGCCCCCGGGTGACCTGCTTGTCATCATTCTTTCAGCGCTGCCAACTTCATTCCCACGCAAGTCTTCACGTGCGTCACGTGCGTCGCGCGCGGTGGAGCCATGGGTCGACCAAACATCTGCCTTCTCACCGTACTGGCCTTCATAGACCTGCCCAGTACGATCCACGGCCTTGATCGGACCACCATGTTCTGGTGTTCTAAGCTTGGCACAGTTTCAGTTCCATAAGTATTCAAAGCCATGCAACAAACGAAAGCATAAAAAAAGGATTCTTTGACAGGGTGGATTGGATCTTTCCTTTTCATGTGCTTTCCGCTGCGGTTTCGTTCCGACAACGGAACCCACCGGCGAACGAAGCCGGCCAACGGCCTGTGACACGCGCTTCACACGGCCCGAAACTCTGCAGTCCATTGTGGCGACTGTGTACCATTGAAAACGAATCCATTGGCATCAGCTAGTCTATGCACTATAGTTCATATCCATATTAATCCATGTGTATATGTGTATATATATATGTATAGACATAACCATTAAAAAAACAAAACAAATATATAGATATATCCATGGATCCGTATACTGTATATCTTATGGATCCATTAGATATCCATGTCAACCTGCACTCTTTTCAGGATTCCAGAACCCGCCTCAGGGGCCATGTAGTGGGGCGTCCCTGCCCGCTGCATGACCTGCTTGGATTCAACGGGAAGGAATCCCTCTTTGGAGCGAAGGTTTAAACACAAAACATCACCCTTTGTTCTTGGTGTCTAATAGCGACGGCCTCCAACCTAGAAGCGATGGCTTCCAACCTACTAGCGATGGCCTCCAACCTAAGAAAGCCCTGCATTGCAAAACTGTAAATAGTGGTAGCTCTAAGGCAAAGCAGCACAAGTTTGCAGTGCAGTTGTATTAGGATGACTATAGGATGACTGTATCTCCCTTGAAGCATTCACATCATCCATATAGTCATCCTATAGTCATCTCTATTCATCCATGAGGGATGTTTTCTCCCATGGATGAGGATGGATAGGAATACCACCTCCGTGTATCTCCCTTGAAGCTTGCAAACAGTTGAGCTGTGCTGGAAAGCTTGATTGATTCCTATGTCGTAAGAGGGTGCCTATGTCCCCAGCTCTTATGACAAGACCCTTAAGCCGTGCTCATTACAAGCTAAGTGGGCATGGCTCAGTTGTCTTCACGGAGGTTGTGGGAACGTGGCAAGCAGCATTTTCCGTGGAGAAGATTCCAGCGGCACTTGATCCAACTGACAGGTGGACGATGGTGGACTCGGGTGGACTGGCTGTGCAAATGATTGGACTGGCTGTTTGCAATTCTGTTTGATACTTTGTGTGGGTGGTTGGCTCTTTTTCCAAACTCGCAGTTTGTTTCTATCATCTGGTTGTTCAGCTTGAAGCAAATCAAAATGTGAAGCCCTTCCATGTCCATGTTACTGAAAGAAAATCAAAGACACTATGTAAATCCAATGACAATTCCACGTTCTTATGATCATGGAACCGGTGACCTTTGGTGGAACCGAGTTGCTTGTGGCACTCTGGCGTGTTCTTCGGCTGCGGGTGTTCGCTCATGAAGTACGAGTCTCTATTTAGGGTCTTCTTCTGTACGACCAAAGAGTCTTGTAAAAACAGAACATCTGTGAGATCTGGGCACTAGTTATTCAGGGCTTCCCACTATTTACTATACAGTGTTTTGGAGCTTCTTGGATGTTTCTTGCAAAAGGAGCAGCTAACCGCTAACCACGTATTTATTGTATTTTACGACCTCGGAAGATATGCCCGAGAATACGACCCTCATCCTTCAGTGCTGAGCTGGAAAGGAATATATTAATATTATATACATATATATATATATTATATATTTTCATACATGACGGGCCAACCGAAAACCAAACACATCCAAACAATTATTCTATAAGGATCCCATTCCCTCAGCACACACACAAATTGCTGCACAATGGGAAAAGAAATTGCTGCACAATGGAAAAGCAATGAACATTATATCCGTTGCGGCCCTCAGTAGGTCTCCACTTAGTTAATCTTAGTTAAATCTCAAATCAGATTTACAGTGACCCGGGAGGCTGGCAATCCTGCACACCAAGTGCTGGCTTGCAATCCAGGCAAGCCACGATCAAAGCCAGTGGACATGATGAGCTTCCAAAGAGTGAAGTATGCTCATTTAACGGACTGTTAAAAAACCAAGTAGCAGGGTTCAAAGGCACAATCCCCAATGTCGGTGGTTTATATGAACCCCCATCTAAACGACATGTAGGGGTTTGTGCCATCTACACTGAAACCACTGTAACAGTAATAGCAGGTCGTCGTTTATGCGCTTTCTGATCAATTTTGGTTCAACACACCATATCTCCACTGCCGCCTCTGGCAGCAACCATGTTACATGTAGCAAAGTTGGGTTGGAATGGTCTACTGCATGTAACAGTTTTCCGGTTGCAAATGGTTGAAGTTTGCCATTTGCCTCATGGGAGATGGTTTTGGCACACCACCAAGTGAAACCAGAGGGAAATCACGTCCACACCCGCCACCAAACATTGGTGTCAAGTGAGTTCCAACATTTGCGAGTACAACTGAATAATCCCATACACTCCGACTGGAACATATGCTGACCCCCCATGGCACCAGCCCTGGCCGTTTCGCAGTCCGGCAGCCCCATGGGTCGCGTCGAATGCTCACAACGAGTCCACAACGAAGAGCCCTTCAACCGACTATATATAACATCCTCACACCATATGGTGAGTTCACTCGTCAGCGAAGTGACCAGCTTCGCTACACCGAGATCGAACCGGCCTCCTTAGTGACTTTGGTCGCCAAAATCTCCAAACCTGTTGCGGTGTACACCAAGGGCGGACATGATTCTGCTGGTCAATCACCAAATTCTCTACTGTACAAACCATGTAACATGCACCAGTTGTTGCACTTCAAGCAGCTAACCGTTATTAGATGTCAGTAGCCTACGTGCATGAAGCGAAACAACACGGGGTGAACGTCGGATACAAACAGCGTATGAAGAAAAGGGCGATCTTTAGACGTTGCCCGGTGGTGTATATGGCCATCTCATGGCCGCCAGCTTGATGTACCGTACGTGTTAGCACGTGATGGTTCATGCACAATTTGACATTTGACATGCGACCCAAACGGCCCCAGAATAAACAGTTGGGCGTTTGGCGCCTTCATATTTCGTGGCGTTTCTTCTGATAGATCTTGGATATGTTAAACACATCCAAGATCTATCAGAAGAAACGCCACGAAATATAAAGGCGCTGCCGCCCAACATTTCTTTTTGCGCTGCCGCTGGGAGGAGTGGTACTGCCCTCAGTAGAGGTGTTGTATGTGTTGTATATGTTTATTTTTGTTAATTTTGATCTTACTGTCATTCCTTCCCAATCTGGCTGTTCTGCTTTTCATGCTAATACAAATCAAATCAAACAAAACAGAATGCGCCAAGCTGTCTCATACATCTGTCACTCTGAAGCTAAAGGAGAGAGGGAGAGAGAAGAGAGAGAGAGAGAGAGGCAAAAAGGGTGCCATATCAACTTGTTGCCACCATGTGCTTCAGAACCTCGAAGAAATCCACAGCAAGACCACCAAGTGCCGGCGGACACTGGGTCGAAGTTGTGCTCGAATGAAAGCAGTTGAACACCAGGCTTAACTGACACAGGACAACCTTCAATACTGCTACAATGTGAGATTCTGATGCTTCTGATGCATCTTCAATCTGACACCCAAATCACCCTCCAATTCCTATCAAGTTTTGATGTGAAACTTCCTACCCGACCTCATACAGCCTAGCAGTTGGCTGTAGCACTCAGGACTCAGGACTGTGTTCAACTCGTGTTCCATCCCTAGGGCTCCAACCATATCAGAAAATACACCCCAACCACCTTCTCAGGGGATCTCAGCAGGTAGGCTTAGGTTGGAGCCCACCCGGGCATGTTGCCACTTCCAGCCTCCCGGCAGCTTCGGTAGCATCCGTGCCACAGCGCCCAGGGCACCTGACCGATCTTGAAGCTCCTGCGGCATCGGCCAGCCGCGGCCAACGGGGACTTGTAGCTCGGACTAGTAGCGATGGCCTCCAAGGTGGTATGTTCAGCTTCCCACCACGTCTCTATATATAACTTTACACACGTTTCCTCATCGGAGCGGTGGAAGAATCCTTTTGGATCTGTTTGGTAAGTGTATGTACACAAAGTATGCTTGATCAATGGGATTTGGAAAACGCCAAACTAACTGACCATATCTGCAGCGTTGAGAAAACAGCCCAGGCCAGTCTCCCAGTGGCCAACACAACAAGAGTCAAACATTTACTGGATCATCAACGATCTTTTAAGAGCTCATCTGACATTCCAACGAACTCGCCCTCGTCCGCTGCGCGAGCTCACCCTCGTCCTCTGTGGCGTTCTGCCACAGCCGCTCCAGTGTGTCTGACCTCAAAGCAGACTCGCTACGTGTGCAGACTGCAAGTCCAAGGGGTGCACAGTCAGTGTTGGACAAACAGCAAAATCTGTTGAACACCCAGCAAAGCAATCTCTGGTCCTTTCTGCTGGAACATCATCTTGGGATATTTGTGCTAGGTGTAGTACTGGGTGTAAAAAAGAGCTGGAGATTTGATGTTTCTTGAGGTTAGCAGTTGGTCGCTTGTCATTTCTTTTTTGATGCTCTAGGTCATGTCATCAACATCCGCAGGCGTGGATGAACAGCTGGTGAAACTCGATGTGGTTGGTAAATTCTTACACCAGTAAATGCACCTGCAGCCCATGATGTTAATTCCAATCATTTTGTCATGGGCACGTGGTACTATTTTCACAGCCCATCTTTCACTATGTTTTTTCATATGTTTCCTTCTACTCCCGTACTTAGTCAAATGCATCTCTCCAGTCTCGGTCACCTGCACATGTCGAGAAAGACGGACCAACTGGCCTCTTCAACCAGGTCCAGTCTGACGCAGGGTTCAACCTGGTCCTGGAAACCTCACTGGGTAGTGTTTTGTATGACCAACTCGAGCAACATGAGGTCTTTGACCTGTAGGGTACAGTAAAACTATACCCATAAGATCCCATTTATTGCCTGCCAATACTCAAAGAGTGATGGTATCTTTTGGTGATCAAAAGGATTTCCACTACAAGTCCAATACTGCACTGATTTCTCTCAAATCCACGGCCCCCCCCCCGCTGCGAACCCTACGCCTTCCCACGGGTTCGCCAACGGAACGGGTTCGCCAACTGAACACCTTCCCACGGCAGAGCGGCAAGCCGAAGTCGATGACCTTCAGCGGCGAGTCCGGCGCCCGGGTGAGAAACAGGACGTTCTCCGGCTTCAGATCCCGGTGGAGCACACCTGGCCGCGCCCGCGAGGTTCCCATGTGTTCTCCCCCGGTCGTGCAGGCTGTTTCCCGGTTCACCGGCGTCACGGTTGGGGGACGACCGAGCCGAGCGCATGCGCCCGGGCTGAAGCAGGAATGTGGTCTTCGGACGCATGGTACCTGGTTGTTCCGATTCGGCGTCCAGTGATCTCAAACGCCATCGATTCTCAAACGCTTCGTACATCGGTTGACCCTCTCGATCACCCAGCTGGAAATCTCTCGAAGAGTCGCTGAGTCGCTGAGTCCGTCTCGCCCCGTTCGAATCGGCGCCGTGTCCACGGGCGTGTCCACATCCAGTCGAACCAACACAGGCGTCGCGAGACAGCACATCGGACGATACGACCAGGTCTCACGTACTCAAAGTTTGGCTTAAACAAATGTCTCCCAATTCATCTCGACCAGCGCCAGCTATAGAGAGCACTGTATCTAACATTATCTAACTATGAGCTCCCAAAGTGCAAATTCTCCGGTCTCGAAAAGCACGTCAGCCTCGGCGCCGACGTCGGCACGACCCCGTTCTCCATGTGGAGAACACGTTCCATCCCAACCATTATCTGGCAGTGCACGATGGCACACATGAACGGGCAATGAGATTGGGAAAGGAAGGGCCCAACGAAAGTGAACGTACATGTTTGCTCAGTGTGTAATACGGTGCAAGTCACAATGTGTCAATGTGTTGGTTGATTCATAGATCCGTGTAGGGCTCACCAGTTTTGTGTTGTTGTTGTTGCTGTTGTTGCTGCTGCTGCTGCTGGTGCTGGTGCTGGTGGTGGTGGTGGTGGTGGTGGTGGTGTTGGTGTTGTTGTTGCTGTTTTAGTCTGTATTGTTGTGTTTAGTATGACTATGAATTGGTGTAGCCTTTGTGTTTCGGTGCAGTGACACAAGCAAACTCTGCTGTGTATGTTGCGGTAGACTCTAGCAAGTCTCCATGCTGGTAACATTCCATTTCACTGCAGGTGGACCAAAGTTTGTCGACTTTATCGTTCTGCACGGCACGGTTTCTCAAGTTTATCACCTGATTTCCTGAAAAAGTCCCAAAGCCAACTCTATCAAAGACAATCAATCAATCACAAGCATATCAGAAACGTCTAGAGTCTAGCTTTGTCAGGTCTCAGTTACATCTTCGAGAGATGCAACGGTACAACACATGGATCCTGTAGGTGCGACGTTCGCGTCGCCGCGCGGTGCAGGGTCCCACCTCGCTGGTGGCAATAGCTGGCAGCGCTCAGCATCTGCTCGGCATAGGCTGCGCTTTGCCCCTCGAGCATGGGGCGACGAGTCCTGAGGCCAGCGAAACCCTCAGGGCCCGAAGGGTCGAGTCGGAGGACCCCTGTGGCCAAACGGTATCACTTCACCGTCAAAATGGACGTAAGAGTATGTAAGCACTCCACAGCCGCCGCAAAAAACATGCTTTTTCCATCACGCCAACTCTTCGACTTCTGAGCACATCTGGCTCAGCTGCACTGGTTGCTCACAGCGTTGCTGCCTGTGCACAGGCTGTCTTTCATCGTGAGCAAGGAGTCCAAGTAGTCCTTCCATGCCTTGGTGGTACCGTCTGATTCAATGTCGAAGTCACAGCATGCTGCATCCTTGACGCAACTCGTGTACGTCTGCCATGTCTTGCAAACTGCATCTGTCCCTGCGGAAATCGTTGGATCACTATTGTACGTCTGAGCACAGCTGGTCAAAGCATCTTGATTGCACCCACCACAGCCCATCAACGTGAAAGAGGTCGCCATGATCACCGCACCCGCAATGACTCGCAGCATGGTGACCGTTGAAAACAGGTCTTCCAGCAAAGGACTGTAGCTCGTACCAAAGTGCTTCTGCGGTGACAAGCAACATGCAAATATCTACGCATTTCTTGCTACTGCTGGCATGACTTCCGAGTTGCTCCAAACCCTTCTATGAGCCATGCAAGCTTGATTACTTTTGGAAGGGAAATGCAAGGACTCTAGCGTTGAACCGTCTGAAGAAGCCGTTTGGTCCAGGAAACGAAATCCAGTTTGGAGCTGACCAGGCTGAAATGAATGTCGTTTCTCATCTGTCCCGGTCCCATCGGTCTTCTGTCGCTCCCGTCCCCCGAACCGGGTCCCTCCTCCGCTGCTGCTCCAAGCGTTCCGCCAACGAGCCACCGGCACAAAGCTCCGTGACGAGGTAAACACAACCTGGGGGCCATGGGTGAAATGCACGGTGACGGTCGGAAAGAAAGAAATTCATCTGCCACGAAGTGCCACGTGCTTCGTGCTTCAAGGGGCTGTGCTATCTGAATTTGTGTGTTTACGTGTTATTTTTGTTTGGCATGACTGGCTAGACTTAGACCTTCTCACTGTACATGAAAAAACAAAAAAGTAAACCAACACAATCTAAAATCAAACACAACAACAGCATGCAGCAACAACTGCAAGAACAATCAACAGTAGAACCAACCGACCGCCCCCCATCTGTCTGTAGGAGTAAAATCAGTTGCTTCGAAGCGGTACTGTATTGCTTCCTCCATCATTTTCTCATGATTCCAATGTAATCATTCAATATCTGATCTGTTTCCAACCAGGTGATCCACTGCGTCAAGACTTCTTCAAGAGGATCGCTCCGCCAGTCCACACCCAGCCCTTCCAGGCTTGCATGCAAACTAAGTTGTGTGTCATTGTGTGTCTATGCTTGTTGGTGGCCCTGTCATGAGTAAGCTTGCAGCTCGAAACTCATCGAGAACTCATCCGAAGATCGAAGCCCAAAAAACAAATCCGTGAACTCATCGAAGATCCAAACACTCACTTCTGTGGTTTAGAGCTGAGAGGGCCGGCCTGTGCCACACCCACCGGCCCAGGGCCTCCCGACGATCGCCGTCGCGGAAAGCTTCGAAAAGGCGGAGCAAGTTCAAGTGGTCCAAGCCTCTCGGGGCACCAGGGTGAGAAAGGAACACCAGGAAGGGAAACTGTTTTCTGAAGGTGAACATACCCCTCAAATGCATGTGATGTTATGATGCATGTTAGGGCTTGGAAGAAATTCATACTTTCGGAGTGGTACTGGAACCATACTGCCAGCATGACAACCTTTTTGTTTTCCAACACCCTCATAGAATTGGTGTTGAGACACGGTGTTGACACTAGGACCCAACATCGAGTACCCGGTTCATATGTTGCGAATCAAAGCAACTTCCCTTGAACCAGTTGGTGTTCACATGACATCTTGACACATGTTGGGATGTTGGCAAGGGGAGCAGCTCAACTTGTTCAACATCGAAACATGAGAACGACGACAAACCGGTCCGAACGCATCACCCGACGGCTGGTCCGGTCATGTCGGTGTCCGACTGCTGGATGGGATGAAAATAGACCGGTCGAACAAACCTACTAGTGATGGCCTCCAACCTAATGGCAATGGCCTTCACCCTACTGGCGATGGCCTCTGCCCTAGTAGCGATGGCCTCCAATCGTCAACCCTAAAGACTCCTCAAATATATAGGGTGAGGGCCAGGACCCCTGCTATCCGATCCTGAGGAGAAAATCTCAAGAAAACCTTGCTTCGATCGGACACGTCAGGTCCAAGTAAAGCTGACAGATGGCAACACTTGACAAGATGAGCAGGCCGCCTGGACCCCCAAAAACGGAAGAATCTTTTTTATTCCACTATATCTACCAATTTGAGTCTTCACTATCCCAGTCTTAGTCTTTAGTTATCCAACTCGACCAGCTCGGAGGATCCTGACCATCTCCAGTTCGATTTCGGACCGCTCTCGTTCCACCAGCCGGGAGACTTTTGAGCATGGTCACTTCCAGTTCCACCAACTCCTCCAAGGGACTTTCGGACTTCCACTAGTGTTTTGCTTACGCCACAGGTCCTTACAAGGATCTCCTTACTTGACATGACAACTGAGGTTTAAAACGTGGCTCAATTGGAGAACCGGGTCTTAAGAGGCAGAGTTGGCGAAAACACCACGTGTACTCGTTTGTGCAAATGGTGGATGGTTTGGTTTCACTGATCATCAGGGCTTTTAGTTTTATAGCAGACTGGCAAACGCTATGACCATATTATATATACCTCACCTCAAAACAATCGTGCTTTGTGGGCTCCCCCTTCAGGGGATGTACTCCAGACATGCCCAAATTCCACCCCAAATAACCAGGGCTGGTGACCATCGAGCACCCGACCATCGGCACTGGCTTGTTGGAACCTTGTAACCCTTCTTGGGGGTCGCACGTCTGTCACCGGAGGTCCCCCATGACACAACACCCGGTTCACCGGCTCTTCTTGAGAAACTATCCAAAGCTAAAATATCAGCTACTTTTGCAGAACAAAGCACACAACTGCATGTGAACATCAGTCAAAACCATTGTCTGTAATTGCAGTGTTTTCATCTATATAAGCACGTTTGGAAAGCTATCTTCCTGCGGATACAGGTTCACAACACCAAAAGAAATAGAACATAAAAACACATATTGTATAAACAACTAAAGGGAACACAAAGCAACGGTTGAGGTTTGTGTGCTTTGTGTGGCTGTTCCTTTTGTATGTTGTTTGCTTGTGTTTTTGGTGATCTATGTTCTTGTGTTGCAATTCCCCCATCCCCGGGAACATAGCTGTTCAAGCAAAACATTGTGCTCTTGACTAGTTGTTTTGTGTGTTCTTGCAAAGTACTTTATTGGAAAGCATTCCGATTCCCGTGTATAAGGCTTAAGGCAATTGCCATCCTTGGTTAAACCTTCCCCTGTTCTGGTGCACACATATTCTGCTTAGACAAACATCCACCTTCGCAAGAGCGTTCTACTAAACCAACACATGTCATCATTCATGCATGGATATCTGTGTTTCCCATGTTTATTTGTTTCCCAAAAAGTCCTTCTGTGAGAACGGCCAAAGACATCATCCCTACTTCTAGAGCATACATGATTGATCGTGAATATGATAGTGTTGCCAGTGTTGTCCTTTGTAAGGGCATCATCCTTGGTGCTGTTTCACCCTATGTCTTATTGATGTTCAACGTCTTCTCCTTTGCACAAGGTCTCCCCTGTAACAAATTGATCATCCTACATGTGCAAGTGCACACCCCTTTACAAACAAAACACTCTTCTTTACACATGCCCGTTTGTGCGTGTGTGTGCGTGTGTGCTTCATTTTTGGTTTTTATGGTTATTTATAGAGCTCAGCTTGTGGTGACCTGTTCTTATTTGAAGGCTTTCATCCTCTGCAATGTTCACTCGCTTCCAAAGTCTTTCCTTTCCCTATTTGGAGGCCATCGCTAGTAGGTTAGAGGCCATCGCTAGTAGTTTGGAAGCCATCGCTGTTCGGTTGGAGGCCATCGCTGTTTGGTTGGAGGCCATCGCTGTTAGGTTGGAGGCCATCGCTAGTAGGTTGGAGGCCATTGGTATTAGGTTGTAAGTTGCAACATTCCGCTAACATAGCGTAAGTATGCGCTTTCCGGCCCAAACAATCCTATGGTCCTACATGCATGAATTCGTGTGTGAAACATGTGTAAGTAGCTACTGTAGTTGTTTTTTGGTTGTATACTGTATACTGCTTCTTTTTTCCAGGGTTGTCATCCTGACAAAATAGTGTCCTTCCAAAAGGCCGTCTTCGCTTACAAAGTTTCTCGTACATTTGTTCAACCCTCATCCTTTCTTAAAAGTCCGTTTCCCTTGAAATTAAGCCGTTGAAGTCCTTGGTTGAACGTTCTCCTATTATCCAAAGACCCATTTATTGTAAGAGTCAAGTATTCTTCAGTATGGGATCTTGCCTCCAATGAAGTCCGTAAACATGATGCATGAAGGATTTTGTACCTTGCCCCATCTCTTCCCTCCTTTGATCCTCCAAAAACACATGTTGCCTTTGTGTTGTTCCATGTGCGTTCTTCATTCACCACATGCTTTCTCGGCCTTGCGCACGCCCCCCTACCTCTCTGTCCCAAGAAACTTGCAAACACGCGTCCTTCAGTGCTTCAGAGCCGTTCTGCAGCTGGACTGCTTTGCAAGCCCTTAGTTCTCCAGTGCCTCCATGCGCGAAAAGCACGGAAACAGGTCTGTCCCGCCGTCGCATGGATCGATGATCCAACCATTCTCATTCTTCGAGAACCAACCAACACCTTAAAAGAGCTTGCAACCAAGCAAACTTTGGCATGCAAGCAGAACTAGTGTCTTTTTCTTTCACTGCTGATCATGAGGGGAGTGCCAAGTGTCCAGATTCCAGCACCAAGTGTCCACTGAAACACTGTATGAGTTGATTCTTTTGTCCGGCCCCCCACAGTACAGGCCACAAAACCCGCCCAGAAAGAATACTTCTTCGATCTCTTCAGCTTCACTCGAGCTCTTCTGTCCAGTCCAGCTCGACGGGTAGACCTGGTTGTTGCTCGACGGGACCCGTCTCTTCCAATTTGGGTCGAACAGAAGGACATGACGTGGACGCATGGGTGGATTCGTCTCGTCAAATCCTTCATAATACATCTATTAACCCTGGAAGTCCAAAACTATTTAACATTATTTAACAAATTGTCTTTAGGTCACCTGAAAAGGACGATCCTTTACTTCCGTGGCGCAAACAAATAGTCTTTAGACTTGTTATATGTATGTTTCTTCAAAGTGAACTCTTTTTGAGTGCCTAAGTGACCTTTTACAGGCCCAAGTGACCTCAAACAGGGATATCAAAAGGTCACTTTGAAGAACCAGGATACATACATATATATTATATTATGATATATACATACACGATATGACATCATTATGATGTGCTGATAGCATTCTCACCAGTCTGGAAGGGTTATAGCAGTCTCACACCATTTCAGTCCTTGTGAAGTGGCAACCCCAGTCCATCCAGTTCGGGTAAGGGATCAAAATAAAAATAAACATAGAATCAAAAAAAATATTCAACGGGGATCAATAAAAAAATAAAAAGGTAATCAAAAAAAAATATTCTAGCCCACTGAGGATGGTTGGGGTAGTAGAGGAGAGTGTACCTCCCCAGGAGCTCCCTCCTAGTAGGGAGCTATTTCCACTGGTGAACCACTTTTCGAGTAGGGCTACTCAATGACTGGACGGCAACCTTATCGTTGGGTACCCACTTTCTTCCCAGGGAGCTGCCTCTAGTAGAAAGCAATCAAGCCTCTATTTGCGCAAGCAGGGGACCAGGAGATCGACAGACGAGCGCCGTAGGAGAGCAAAAGA